GTGACTTTCGGCTATATGTGCTAAATTGTTTTGTCCACATTTGCATTCCTTTACTTCCATAGTAACAATTGTGATATCATAGTAGACATAGTTGTTGTTTGATCAAATTTGTCTTTCTCCAAGCCATAATTTGGCCGAAAATCGTTCGGATGGGACTACATGAAATGAAAGGAAATCGAATTTTATGACACGTCAGCTCCAACCGGACAATATTGACCCAAACATATGGTGAAACATGAGATAGGTTAAATTAAATCATAAATGTTAATTTTAAATTATAACAGTTAATTTGTTCTATTCAAAAGTATCATGTATCCCAATTGTCCCGAAATGAAATGAAATGGGGGTTCACCTCCGACTGGGCTAATGAAGACGGCTAATTCGTCAGTAAATATTTTAGGATATCAATGTTTAATTTTGTTGCTCAGATGTGAGATATATTATGTTGTAGATTGTAAATAACTTGATAATTAATAAATAATTTAATTTATAGTAACATGTATCATAATATAAATAACCTAGCGGTAACTTGATTGTCAGTTAAATTATTCATTGCTTATTTTTCAATATGACATTAAATACAAAATAAACGAGTTAGGCATTCAGTGTTTTGTATATAACATTATGTGTGGATCATCCGGATTTACTCTTTTTTTGGATGTTAATACATTATATTTTATACTTTATTACAAGGCAAAGCAAATCACTTGATATAGCCAACATAGGGTCTTCCCATATCGCCGACTCACCAGAATTTGGAAAGTCGACCGCGGCACTCTTTGATGGGTTAAAACGAATTAAAAACGTTAATGCCAAATTTAATCCAACCTAATAGAGTCCGCGATAGACTTGGCGATTTAAAAAATAAACAAAAAGATTATTATGATAGACAATCGAGGATATTGCCAGAAATTAAACCGGGTGAAAATGTCGGGTTAAGAGCTAAATTCGGTTGGGAACCGGCAACTGTAATTAAAGAATCGCCAGCACCGCGTTCGTTTATAGTTAGAAATGATGATGGTCAGATATATCGTTGAACTCGACAACATATTCTCAAAACTAAGGGTTCAGTTCCGTCTATTAATACTGGTTCAAATGAAGCTAAAACTAAACTGATATTAAAAAAACCCATTACCGGTAGCAGATACACAAACTACAAGTGGAGAACAAGGTGTACGAACTTCTAGTGGTAGATTAGTTGTCAAACCCCTACCGATATACAGACACTAAATATTAATATATTGTATATCAATTTATGAAATGTGATGTATTGAGTTTACGTGTATTTCGTCTTTTGTAAAAAAATAAAGATGTAATATAGTGTCCAGATAATCAAGACTACATGTATCTTGACTATATAAGATTTAAGGGTCTGGGTAATCTGGATGGTATATAGCGACACGGGACCTGAGGTTGCACGGGTGGATGCACCTGGGTGGTTATTTTTAGAATGATAGATATATATTACATACATGTATATAAAGCCGTTTCAATATGTAATACAAAGATGTATATACAAATAAGTGGTTTAGTTTTATTTTTGGGTGTTTAATATTTGATTACGTAATGTAATACTATGGTATAGATATTTTCCTAAATTCATTATACATGTACGGTTACTGCTTTAGATCTTCTCCTATCAAATATTTTAATACCATATAAAGATTTTAAAGCATGTATAAATCTTTTTTTTTATGACCGCTGGCAACGGTCTTGGGATCTAGCAGGCACAAACAAACTTCATCAAATTAAGCCTCTCTTAAGAGACTGGCCAAGCTCCTATTGTACGAGCAGGAGAGATAAAGTTGTCTTGTGTCGCTCTCGTATAGGCCATACTTTTTAATTTTCATCTTAAGGGCAAGGTAAAGTGGCACCTATTGTTGCATAGTAGTCTCAACACCAACAAGGCTGAAGATATTATTTCCCAAAACAGAATAGTGGCCCTTGGATACAAACGTCCAAAATAAACTCTATTACTAACAATACACTATTCAACAGTCAATACCCCTTTAATTCGTACATCCGCGTGTTATCACGTAAACGAAAATTTCAGTTTCATCACTTTTTGCCCAATCGCGGTTACACCTACAGACAAAACGACAAAACTTGGGGGCAGCTATTATCTCTCTATTTATACTCTGATCTATGTAGTACAGTAGTCGAGTCTTAGATTTTCGAGTTGCTTTCCTATTTCCTTGTAGTGTGAGATTTCCACGTCTTGCTACTACGAGGTTGGGATCGGCCATTTTCTAGACGAGTGATGCGAATAATCGTTAAACTGTCAACGCTTAGCGGAACATTGTATCGATATGCAAAGGTTTCATTTACATCACCATACAGAAAATTATGTCGTATTCCCCTTAGTAATAACACATTTCGCCGTTGTATAAATGTAAACAATGTTTCGTAGGTAGTTTTCGTGTCCGAATATCTGGTATGTCCTTGACCTTATGCTAATATCAATAAGCAAAGTGTTAATTTTATATACAAATTTTTGATTTTTTTAATTTAAACAACTGCGGAATACGATTAATTTATATCAAAGTGCAAATGAGGTGTTATTTACGGGATATGATAATATTAATAAAAATAGTCATGCATGAACTCATTGATGCGAGCAACATTTCCGTTGAGTGGTAATTCGACACAGAAAGATAAATAAAAATGCAGTAAATACTTTTTGACTTATACTATCACAATTGTCCTTACATCAGGAGGTAAATCGTAATATTATAGACTATTGCGCTTCATTTACAAGAACTGTCACATCTTTTAATATCAACATTATTCAAATAGAGCGTTCTATAAATTGATGAAAACAGAACTTTCAAAATCTAAGCTATCGTGACTGCCGTTGTCAAGTGTTGGTAAATGTTAGCAAAAATGCTTGTTTCTAAATTTTGGATAGATTATTATTCATTTATGTTAGAATAATTATCATTTTGAGGGTCTGATATAGAATATATTACCTAGACATCATTTTTGTGGAGCAAATTCATTTCTATGGAGTACTATTTGAAACACATCATATTTTCCAATCAACCATTCAGCTGGAATTTTCCACATTGAATAGTGAACTATTAGTGTACAATCTAAGATTAAACAATGTGTTGAGTGTGAATTTAATATTGAATAAAATTTATAACAAATTATTTTACTGTAACACTTGGTAAAAATGTTCAATCTTTAATTGTCAGTGCATCTTTATGCTTCCTGGCACAAAGTTTCAAGGGGTGAATTAAGAAGTAATACAAATGATAACAATGTGTATTCATTATAAAAAAAATTGCTGAAAACCAAAAGCAGTTTCAAGGAAATTGTGATGCAGTATTTACAATATTCCATACAGACCCGAAACATTTAATCCAAATGATGTTTATGATGGTACTCCATACAAAAAGTCTGAAAGTAGTCCCTTGAAAAAAAATGGAGGATATTTGAAAAATAAAAGTTTAATTATATTGACGTGGTGTGCTGAAACAAAGATATTTTTCAAAATTTGAAGCCTTGATGGTTGTAGTGTATATATTCAGGTATCTCTTTGAGACTTTGTGATTTCCCATGTTGAGTTATTTACCATGTGGCTGCGCAGTGCTGAATGGTATATTTGTTTCATATTTTCCAAAATTACAAATTCCAAAGTCATTTGTTTTATTTTCATCCATTTTTTTTTCACTATCATCTCAGGCACGTTTAGACACCAAAATAAAGGCACTAAAGGTGTTGTGAATGATTTTTGATGACCTCCCATTTTAAGTGTTGTGACAATTTTTGTCACTTTAAATTGCCCTTAAAGCGAGAGCCCCAACCAGAATGTGAACGCTGTCATGTTCCTTTGGTAGTGAAGCACATTTTAATTGAGTGCAAGCATACAAGATCACGATAATACCGTTGCCAGTCAGGACATCAGCTATTTGCTCAACCGGAGCTATATACTAGAGAGAGAGAGAAATGGGGTTTAACGTCCACTCGACACAAACTAGGTCATTTCGGGACTAACATATGGTTTAATTTTATTTACATAATTCGCTTGCGCGTAGGGGTCTTTAGCAGTGGGAGGACACCGGAGGACCCGGAGAAAACCCACGAGGTTGGACGGGCGACCCTACTCCTTGCCACGTACAACCGGGGATTCGAAACCACGCCAGTCGACTCAATGACAGACTTTATGATACAGCGCGCGCACGCTAACCATTCAGCCATCCCCCCCCCCAGCTATATACTAAGTTGCTAACATTTTTAAAGGAGACAAAGTTTTATAATACGTTTTAATTGTATATATTTTATCACGTATTATGTTTTTAAATATTTATATATGTAATGGATTTAATATTTGTTTTAAGTTATTTTTTCTGTGATATTTGTTTTTATTTACATATAAAAATGTATGTGATAATGTTTTAATTTGTCTCGTTAAATTCACCATATGTTTAGCGCAATATAGCCCGGTTGGAGCTTACGTGCCATAACACCCCATTTCATCCATTTCATTTCAGTACATTTACGGTTGATGTTCGTTAAAATATTTTCGAATTTATTTAAAGAAGGAAAGGGAAGGGAGGGGAGGGGGGGGTGGGGTTTAACGTCCACTCGACACAAACTAGGTCATTTCGAGACTAACATATGGTTTAATTTTATTTCAAACCCACGAGTTTGGACAGGCGACCCTACTCCTTGACACGTACAACCGGGGATTCGAAACCACGCCAGTTGACTCAATGACAGACTTTATGATACATCCAAGATCAATTTAAACAAGTATGGCTATCTGCCTTGTAAAATTTCAGTTAGTTGCGTTTTTGTTAAACGTGGGTTTTCTCCGTTTCCTTCCTAAATGACCTAGTTTTTTTTTCGAGTGGGCGTTACCCCCCCCTCTCTCTCTCTCTCTCTCTCTCAGTTAAATCCCCAGGTGACCGAGCGGATATGTTCTACACTTTCAATAATAAAAGTTGAAACCAATGTCTGACATTCTCGAAAATACTTTATATATTTCAGAGCGATATTGGAATTTTCAAGAGTAGCCTGTTCACATACTTTGTTGAGGTAGTTGCTTAAGCCTTGAAGAGACTCAACATGTTTACACTCTTCCCCGGTCTCCTAACAGTTTTGCTCATTCTATACCCGATGTTCAAATTCAGTTTTAGTTGTCAAGATTATTGGATGGAATTTACTCATGTTTCTATTGACGTGATACCCAATTCACCCATAACAATGGTGTCAAAACATTTGAAAATGGCATGTGCAATTGCTTGTAAAGATGAGGCCCATTGTGTGGCGTTTGCCTTTCATCAACAAAGAAGAGAATGTCATCTTTATACAAGGAATGTGGAAGAACTGGGAAGAGATCCAGATCCTGGCATGACGGTTTTCTTGTTGATGACTGGTAAGTTTTTATACTGTTCTTGTTGATGACTGGTGAGATTGTTGATGACTGGTAAGTTTTATACTGTTCTAGATGATTACTGGTAAGTTTTTATACTGTTCTAGATGATTACTGGTGAGTTTTTATACTGTTCTGGTTGATTACCGGTGAGATTTTATACTGTTCTGGTTGATGACTGGTGAGATTTTATACTGTTCTGGTTGATTACTGGTAAGTTTTTATACTGTTCTAGTTGATTACTGGTGAGTTTTTATACTGTTCTGGTTGATTACCGGTGATATTTTATACTGTTCTGGTTGATGACTGGTGAGATTTTATACTGTTCTGGTTGATTACTGGTAAGTTTTTATACTGTTCTAGTTGATTACTGGTGAAATTGTTGATTACTGGTAAGTTTTTATACTGTTCTAGTTGATTACTGGTGAAATTGTTGATGACTGGTACGTTTTTATACTGTTCTAGTTGATTACTGGTGAGATTGTTGATGACTGGTAAGTTTTATACTGTTCTAGATGATTACTGGTGAGATTGTTGATGACTGGTAAGTTTTTATACTGTTCTAGATGATTACTGGTGAGATTGTTGATGACTGGTAAGTTTTTATACTGTTCTAGATGATTACTGGTGAATTTTTATACTGTTCTGGTTGATTACCGGTGATATTTTATACTGTTCTGGTTGATGACTGGTGAGATTTTATACTGTTCTAGATGATTACTGGTGAGATTGTTGATGACTGGTAAGTTTTTATACTGTTCTAGATGATTACCGGTGATATTTTATACTGTTCTAGTTGATTACTGGTGATATTTTATACTGTTCTGGTTGATGACTGGTAAGTTTTTATACTGTTCTAGATGATTAGTGGTGAATTTTTATACTGTTCTGGTTGATTACCGGTGATATTTTATACTGTTCTGGTTGATGACTGGTGAGATTTTATACTGTTCTGGTTGATTACTGGTAAGTGTTTATACTGTTCTGGTTGATTACCGGTGAGATTTTATACTGTTCTGGTTGATGACTCGTGAGATTTTATACTGTTCTGGTTGATTACTGGTAAGTTTTTATACTGTTCTGGTTGATTACCCGTGAGATTTTATGCTGTTCCGGTTGATTACTGGTGAGATTTTATGCTGTTCTGGTTGATTACTGATGAGATTGAATGCTGTTCTGGTTGCTTACTGATGTGTTTTACACTATTGATTTTCAATTTGAGTAGAAATTAATATAAACAGATGGTAAATCAGAAACAAATCCCGAACAAGATTCAGATTCTGTCCGATTTACTTCCGTCACACATATCCAAGTGTTTGTACTTATTTATTAATAAATTCTAAAAATTTTGTGGTATTTTTGATAAGTTTCAACCTTCTTGGTAATATCAATGGGTGTTTATGGTTTAAAGGTTTATAAGTCATTGCAAAAACATTTTTGAACATACATTAACTCTGTCCATTGTAGGGCTTTCTTTAGACCTGAAATGTTATATTAACTATACTCAGCCAAATTAAAAACTTGACACTGATGAATTTCAACAAAAATTGTTTTCTGGTAAGTCAAATAAATTTTAAAGTGTTTCTAACGATAGTAAGTAGTAAGAAGCCTTTAATTTCATAAAATTGTAAAGTCACGTGGATCACGTGACTTTTGAGCATATAAAGATGAAAAACCGGAAAAACACGTGCAAACACAAACTCGTGAGGTCAATCGATGCAAGTTTGCTTAAACTGAACACGCACACGTAACTTGAACTGGAAAAACAAATTAAAATTGTTATTTTCATCTTTGTTAGAAAATGCCGCGCCTTTCAAATGTAGAACGTCTACGTGCTATAGGTAGGCCCTATGCTGGTCAGTCTGTGGTCACTGTTGCAAGAGCCTTTAATTGTTCACGCCAGACAATAATTAATCTTAGAATAAGACTGCTTCAAACTGGAACTATTGCCGACCGTCCAAGGGCGGGAGCGCCACGTGTGACGTCACTCCAGGAAGATCAAGCAATATGATTACGTCATCTTAGAAACAGATTTGTCACTGCAACCTCCACAAGTAGAGAGATGTTTGGTGGAAGGGTAACTGCATAAACTGTTCGAAATCGCTTGCAGGCTGCTATAATGGACCAATATTGACACCTCTTCATCGCCGTAACCGACTTGTGTGGGCCACAAGACACACAAGATTAACTCAAAGACAGTGGAATTCGGTTGTTTTTAGTGACGAATCTCGATTCACTTTGAGATTTGCCGATGGCAGGGTCCGAGTGTACCGCAGACGAGGTGAACGTTACGCTCAAGTATGCGTCAGAGAAGTTGACCGATTTGGTGGCGGCAGCGTCATGGTTTGGGGTTCTTTTTGTGCACATGGACGTTCTCTTCTTGTTGTTGTCCAAGGGTACTTAAATGCTGTCCAGTACAGGGATCAGATTTTGCAACCTGTTCTTCTTCCGTTTATGCAGAGACATGGACCTGGACTAACGTTTCAACAAGACAATGCTCGACCCCATACAGCAATTGCTACACAGAATTTTTTAAGAAATGCCGGTGTCCAAGTCCTGGATTGGCCGTCACTTAGCTCCGACCTTAATCCTATTGAACACATCTGGGACGAACTTGGTCGACGTGTTCGTCAGCAAGTGAATCCACCAATGACGTTGCAGGACGTTCAACATGCTCTTGCTGAGCAGTGGCGACGTCTTCCTCGGGTAGTGTTTACTAATGTTCTGAGATCCTTGAGAAGACGTTGTGTGGCAGTACGAGACGCTAGAGGAGGCCACAACCGTTACTTAACACTTTATTCCGATTGTTCTCCAAGTCTGTGAATTTCATTTTGGGGGGTACTGTGACATCACGAACGCTATCAATGTCAAGGACTTTCGGCGAGATGTATTCTTGCTTTCTGTTGATGTCAAGGTCGTCTGTGCACAACATAACACTAAAATAGTTGCCTTAAACCAAATATTAAAAATCTAGTCCCAAAAATCCCGAGTGTCAAGTTTTTAATTTGGCTGAGTATATTAATTAGACATTTATTAATCAAACGTTCGATGGCATCGGATACTCAACAATTGAACTAGGTTAAAATGGTTCGCCATTTAAAAATTTAATTTAAAAATGGGAAAGCGAGGCTAAGTCCCGAATGTACAAGTGCCCTGGTTACCACTGTGCACACATCTTGTCAAAACTACAAACAGTGATAGCTTGGCTCAGAATGAAGTAATTTGAATGAAATTTTCAATATTTTCATTTTACATTATCTAGTTTTGTGCTTATTATAGTAAGAATGGCCAGCTCTTTATCTAAATCTAACATAATGTATCTTTAAACATTCTGACCTCATATAGCTGGTAAACTGCCATGACAGACTGTTGTTTAGGGAGCAACTGTGGAATGAAGTCAAAGAGACCGGCTCTTCTTCAAGTTTAATATCACGATATAACTCCAATAAATTCTAATTTAAATATGAAAACTTTAATAGGCTGGCCTAGAGAACGAACAATTCCAAAGCTCTTGAATTATTATCCGAGCAGTAATGCATATTTGTTATATGGCTTTATTCAGATTTTCGGGCGTGATTCCCCCTTGTCGGTAATGCAGGACGGAGGGCCTGACAAAGACAGCAGTCTAGTCGTTCGGATGGGACGAAAACCCGAGGTCCTTTGTACACATTCGCGTGCACGTAAAAGACCCCTTGACAATTTGAATTCGATATAAGAGTAGGCTGTTGTGACGCTGCCCGGGCAAAATTTCCCCCATAGCACACTGTAAGGCGTATACCCGTCTTCATAAGCCCAGTTCGGAGCGGAACAGTAGGACGTTAAACCCCCTTTTATTTCTTTCTTTATATTGCTTATCTTATAGAGGGAAGTAACTTGGCAAATTTAAAAACACAATCAACAAGCTCCGTTGGTGCATTGCAACCCACTACAGCAGCTTTAGATGGCGACCCATCTACCTGTTTTCAAACAGATAAAGACGATTATCAACCCTGGTTTCTTATTGATGTGGTGGACACGTTTCTAATTCGTTTTATAGTGGTTGACAACGAGGCTGGGTATCGTAAGTACTGCATATTATTAAATATAAGTGTTTATCGAAAGTTTACGTGTATCATATTCTCATAGTACTTACACGAGAGACACCTCACATAGAAACAAAATCCATAAGACAAACCCATGGACAAGACACACACACACACACACACACCCACACAATATACAACAAACTAATACTATATCAAATCATGTGAAAGGACCCAAGTCCTAAGTCACCAACTCTATATAATTTCCTCTTTCACTTATATCTAAATCGCCGAGGTTTAAAAGTTTTTTAAACTGTTCGTGTGGACTTATGTGGTAAGCTTTTCCGTAATATTTCTACAATTATCCATACCGAAAATTTGTTGCGCGTGGTTGCACGTGAATGATGTCCATAAGACGATTTAACGCGAATAGAGAGGGCGGAATTAGAACAGGTTACATAGAGTCTATTGTATAAAAACAGTAAGAGGTGTTGTGAGGGATGGAATTATAACCTACCATCTATAGTCTGCTCTATAATAATAACAATGATGGAACAAGCCAACAGGGAGGCTAATACCCCCCGCCGAAATCCCCAAATTTGTAGTTCCTGGTAGTGAAACTATACACTACGTTTCATCACTCTCCATCAGTTAGAATCAAAGTTATCGTGTCCCAAATCATCAACCAATGAAATTGCTTAGCTCTGCTAAGTTGTAGTGGGAAATGTTAACCACTGAACTCGGACAAGGCTGAACGCCTACACCAAGTTTGAACATTCTACCTCAATTAGAAAGAGTTATTGTGTTCCAAATTCGCGACTAATCAAATTGCTTATCGTTCTGCTTTCCCTGAGCAGGAAATGCTCATTATCGCACTTAGTCAAGGTATTGATGTAATGAAACTATACAGTAAGTTTCATCACTCTCACTTAATTAGAACTAAAGTTATCGTGTACCATAGCATCAACCAATTAAAGTACTTATCTCCGCTTACCTAAGCAGAAAATGCTCATCTTCGAACTCCATCAAGGAATTGACCCAATAAACACCTACACCAAGTTTGAACATTCTAGCCCAAATAGAAGGAGAGTTATCGTGTCCCAAAAAATGTGACGGACAGACAGACAGACCGACCGACAGACAGACGGACAGATCCATTTTAATAATCCCCTGCTTTATCCGAAAGGTGGGGATTATTATAACCAGCCACCTATAGTTTGCTCTGTAATAACAATGCTGGAATTATAACCTGTCTGTTCTATAATAATAATGGTAAAATTGTAACCTGTCTGTTCTATAATAAAAATGTTGAGATTTTATGGATCGGTGGTCAACTGTAAAGTTTATGTAATTGTCTAACAAATGGCTGTCGCATTCATTAATATTTCGGATGCAAGCTCCGTAGCTTGATAGGTAAATGGTAAAAAGCATAAAGTTTACAGGTTGGTCTTAAACTTTTATCCACGAGTGTTATATTTCCCTCTGAGTGTTATATTTCCCTCTGGGTGTAATATATCCCTCTGGGTGTAATATTTCCCTCTGGGTGTAATATATCCCTCTGGGTGTAATATTTCCCTCTGGGTGTAATATTTCCCTCTGGGTGTAATATATCCCTCTGAAAGCCTATATGACGTTAGTTACATATATAGTTTATATTTTCCAGTGATGTATGTTCGTTTAACGACATGACGTCGTTGGCACAGAACAGCTCTCTCTCTTTCTCTCTCTCTCTCTCTCTCTCTCTCATTAAATGTTTTATTCAAAAGAATGTATTATTTGCAAGGTGAATATATTTTATTTTACAAATCGCATTTTCTTATATTTCCAGCTGAATGCCTCCATGACGTTAATTATGAAGTCTATGATTCTGATCCAACTATAAACAACTCTTCAGAAGGTAATTGTTGTGCTTCAGTGGCTGATTACAATACAGGTAAAAACATCATCAGGTGTAATGATGGAGTCAAAGGAAGATTTGTGAAGATTTCTATTGAAAAATCAAATTTCTTAACTCTTTGTGAAGTGGAAATATATGGCACCCCTTGTAAGTACGCTGTATTTGGGATTGTGTATTGATAAGGTGTACATTTTTGTTTTAGCATAGAGAGAGACATGGGGTTTAACGTCCACTCGACACAAACTAGGTTATTTCGGGACTAACATATGGTTCAATTTTATTTTAATAATTCGCTTGCGCGTAGGGGTCTTTAGCATTGGGGGAAAACGGAGGACCCCAGGAAAACCCACGAGGCTGGACAGGCAACCCTACTCCTTGTCACAACCTGGGTATCGAAACCACGCCAATTGACTCAATGACAGGCCTTATGATACAGCTCACAAGCGCTAACCATTCGAATATCCTCCCCACCCTGTTTTATCATAGAAGAGTGTTACTATGGAATATATAAAGGGTTTAGGTTCTCGAGGTGTGTTTGAGCGGAGTTGGTTAAACACAGGAAATTCATCATATTTGTATTGTTAAAGGGTGAATTCTTTGGAACCTTAATAAACTGGACGAAAATACTTCTAAACGAAAACATTAATGTGATAGTAATGTATATAGGGTGACTTATATCCAATCCATTTTTTTTTTTATTTCTGATCAATTGTGTTAAATTGATATGCCTGTGGTACGTTTAGGGATATGAACTCCCAACTAGGTTCCAAGAAGAACCATCTCAATGGTGAAGGCCCGGATCGCTTTGTTGTGCACATAGATTTTGCCATTATTAGCCTCTCCAATCAATCGTATACTGTATGTATTTCTTTGATTACCCTTCGCGATATATACTCTTCAAAAAAAGTAGGGGATATTCAGAAACAATATAAAACTGCGGAGATGCACTGCTGTTTTTATTAGAGGTAACTAGTGTATGTTAATAACAGGCCAATTGCCTACGCGCGAACATAAAAAGTTCTTCATGGACGGCTTATCTGACGGCCCCATTTCACTCGCAAAGTGCGAAATGGACGTTTTTGATTTTTGTCTTAATAATGAGTAGTTGCTCCACCAATCCTCAGACATTCAGCAATTTGTCGTGGCATGCTCCTAATCAAACGTCTAATCGCGATTTGGGGAAATCTGACCCACTCCTCTTGCAGTGCCGCAGCCAATTCTTGCGGTGTTGTCGGTTGACGTTGGCGTCGACGAACACGTCTCCCGATCAAATTAAACGTAACACACTAAAGCAAAGATAAGCTAAACACTAAATCTTATGCAAGAACCGATACGAAAGCAAACATGGATAGATAAACCAGCACGCGGCAGTTTCATCAACCCTTCCTTGAAGTGTCAAATTTGACAATGAACCCCTGCCACATGTATGTCGCTATTGCGTGTCGCACGTGCAGCTCAGTGGTTCTGTTGGGGCGAAAAGTTCTTCATCTGTGAACATACTCTCAAAGCATGTCAAGTGTCCATGACTATTTATCATATCACAACCTGCATAGGTATTTGCATTTCAATATCAGTATATTTTCTTTATTTCTGCCAATGATTACAATATACCATCAGTATCAATTATATATGTCGATGGTTACATCCCACCATCAGTATCAATTATATATGTCTATGATTACACTCTCCGATCTGTAATTTTATTGGTCATGTTTTGTAATCCATTACTTAATCAACAATGTATACTCAAGCTTTAATCAACAATGTATATCCTTCTTCATACTCAAGTTTTGCTCCAGTGAAATTACTTAATGAACAATGTTTTTATTCGTCATACTTAATCTTTCTATTAGTGAATGAGACGAGGGACACCTGTAATCAAAGATCTGAATGTAAGAAATTACCAGGTAAGACAGCCATATTAAATACACATTTTACTTGAAATGGGAATGTAATCTGTTCACCCATCTTGTCTGTCCTGTACAATTCCTGTAAGCAGTGAATAGGGCATAGTTTTTGAGACTTTGTTTTAAAAAATTGCTAGGATTGCTGGGTTAGTCCCAAGGAGGAATCCTGTTGAAATTCTAAAGACGAATCAGTCTCTTGCAGAGTGATTGCCCCTGTCGCCAAACATGTGCGTCAAAATTATTGGGATTGGTCATCCGGTAAATACGAGACGCCGTGTCAATTTAACATGGCATTGTTATCTGCCCAGTTGTTACGCTTTTTTAGTCAATTTTCTTTTTTCAAAGTTATTCTGCGTCTGCTCTTCACCGGAACTTGAACATGTAATTGCGGTTAGCAAATCCCTCATTAAATGACTAGCACTATGTTCAGCTGTAAATAAGGGGAGAGAAAGGGGTTTAACGTTCACTCGACACAAACTAGATCATTTCCGGACTAACATATCCGGACTAACATATGGTTTAATTTTATTTCAATAAATTCAAGCGAATTTTTTAAATACAATTGAACCATATGTTAGTCCCGAAATGACCTAGTTTGTGTAGTCGACGTTACCCCCCCCCCTCTCTCTCTCTCTCTCTCTCTCTCTCTCACACACACACACACTCTCTCTCTCTATCGATGTATTTTTGTCCCCCGCCTTTCGAAGAAAGCAGGGGACTATTAAAATGGGTTCGTCCGTCTGTCTGTCTTTCTGTCCGTCTGTCTGTCCGTCACACCTTTTGGGACACAATAACTCTCCTTGTAATTAACCTAGACTGTTCAAACTTGGTGTAGGTGTTCATTAGGTCAATGCCTTGATGGAGTTCGAAGATGAGCATTTCCTGCTTAGGGTAAGCCGAGATAAGCAATTTGATTGGTTGATGCTTTGGGACACGATAACTTTAGTTCTAATTAAGTGAGAGTGATTAAACTTGGTGTATAGTTTCATTACATCAATACCTTGACTAAGTTCGATATTGAGCATTTTCTGCTGAGGGTAAGCAGATCGATAAGCAATTTGATTGGTCGAGACTTTGGAACACAATAACTCTCCTTCTAATTGAGCTAGAATGTTCAAACTTGGTGTAGATGTTTATGAGATCAATGCCTTGATGGAATCTGAAGATGAGGATTTTCTGCTTAGGGTAAGCAGAGATAAGCAGTTTGATCGGTTGATGCTTTGGGACACGATAACTTTAGTTCTAATTAAGTGAGAGTTGTGAAACTTGGTGCATAGTTTCATTACATCAATACCTTGACTAAGTTCGATGATGAGGATTTACTGCTTCGGCTAAGGAGCAATAAGCATTTTGATTGGTCAAGACTTTGGAACATAACAACTCTGCTTCTATCTGAGGTAGAATGTTTAAACCTCATGTAGATGTTCGTCTTGACTGAGTTCATTGATTAAAATATCGAGCTAAAGCTAAGCAGAGATAAGCAATTTCCTTGGTCGATGCTTTGGGACAAGATAACTTTGATTCTATCTGATAGAGAGTGATGAAACTTAGTGTGTAGTTTGATAATCAGTTTCATTGCTTGATGCTTTTGAAAAAAATAGATATGTGATTAATTAATATGTGTCATCTATTTATTTGGGGATATCGGCGGGGGGCATCAGCCTCACTGTTGGCGTGTTTGTATTTATTCCAGTGGTTGGTGAACGGTTCGCCGATGTGAGTGTAATGGTGTATGAAGCGGATCCATCTGTCGGTAATCCTCCATCAACAAAGTGAACATTTCTACCAGGAGTGTTTGGATGTACAGTGAGAACATTTGAGTGTGATGAGAAAACAATCGGCAGGTTCATCAGGATAACCAAACCAACAGAATTTCTTAATATGTGTGAAGTCGAGGTGACGGGTATAAAACAGTAAATCTCTTAAAAACAGAGTTAAGTGAACGCTAAAGAGTTGCTGTTGAAATGCTATATCAATCGTATATAGATCATACATATTCACTTTAATGAGAATTAAAATATAGGGTTTCAGCGTCTTTACAGTCAGTTGTTCTTTGAAATGATATCTTGTCTACTTTCGATTAGAGATACATTATGAAAGATTAGATCAAGAGCTGGCAGTTCTCACTATATTAGTTAACAACTAGATAACGTAGACGGAATTTGCTAAAAATTTCAGTCAAATTGATTCACTCTGAACCGAATTATTAGCTTTTGAATTTTAGGCATAGCCTCGATCATCGTTACTAAAGTCGGTACGATAAAAGAAAAAACCAAAGTCTCGATTATCCAGTTTGTGATTTAATCACCAATGAACGTTGCGCAGCAGATAGGATTCTAATCCAGAAAATATCGCGGGCTAGCGATGACATCGAGAGTTGATTATGGTCTGGATAAGTTAATTAATATCTAATTAATAAAGAAAGACCTGCAATTGGCAGATTTAGCTCTTGCATAATGTTTAATAAACTAAATAAATGGCATGGAATAATATCGGGTTTAACGTCCTACTATTCTGCTCCAACTTGCCAAATGAAGATTGACAAACACCATACAATGATCTATAAGGGAAATCTTGCCCGGACAGCGGCGTTACGTCATATCGAATTGCAACTGCCAGTGGTTCTCTTATGTACACGCCCATGTGCACACTGGACCTCCCCTTTTCGTCCAAATTTGAACGACTATCTGCACCACTGACATGTGAGAACTACACCAGAAACCCGATGAATTTTCTTTTTCAACACAAAGATCAAACACGGGACCTCTTGGAAAGCCAGCCAACGACTTACTCGACCAGCCACCACGGCTTTCAGGTGATGTAAACATCAGCGAGAGAGAGAGAGAGAGAGAGAGAGAGAGAGAGAGAGATGGGGTAAGGTGCACTCGACACAAACTAGGTCATATCGTTCAATTTTATTTCAATAATACACTTGCACGTAGAGGTCTTTTGCTGTGGGAGGAAACCGGGGGACCCGGAGAAAACCCACGAGGTTGGACAGGCCACCCTAATCCTTGTCACATGCAACCGGGGAGTCGAAACCACGCCTGTTGACCATTCGCCTCCCCCCCCCCAACCCGCACCCCCCCCCCCTTCCCCAAAGTACTATAGCAATGGGAGGAAGCCGGGGGAAATGGATAAAACCCACGGGATTAGACAGGCGACCCTCGGCTCTAAAGAACAGCAATATGGTTTAAAAACAATACCAGACAGCGGGTTTTGTTTTGGGGGCAATGATACTTTTCGTTTCGTTAACAAAGGACACTCTGTAATTTGCCGAAATTAAGAAAGGAAAATTAACCGTAAATTTCAAAGTATGAAAGTTTTCATGAAATTGCATAATCAGTCGTAATGGTATGGACTTATGTTTAATGAATAATCGAATTATCAGGCACGCTTCGACTCGGGACAATAAGCAAGTGGTTAGCGGTCCTGCATTTGCGCCATCTCAGTTTTGGATACAGTTTCGTGAAAATCTGGTAAAAGAAAAAGAAAAATAAGCTCAGCTTCAACCTGAGAAGAACTTATAACAGTGTCAGGTCCCGCTGTATTTTCATCCTTATGTGTACCAAGCATCTTTATCATATCACAGTAGGAATTTTAAAAAAATAGTAGGCCGTGTTGCCACTGTATTGGCGTATACCCGTATTCATTAGCCCAGTCGGTGCAGACCAGTAGGACGCTAAAGCCCTTTTCATTTCGTTTCCAAGGTTTACCACACAGCATGATTGTTGATGTTTTTAAGAAATGGCTTACAGTAAGTTGTCTTAGTTAGTAAATGTTCACTATCAAAACGGCTCTTTGTTTGACCATCTCCTTTTTTTCAGCATTGTCGCAGCACACAGTTCTCTATCCCTAGTCATTCTAGTTCTTTTCAGTGGGAGGAAACCGGAGGACAAGGAGAATAACTACGAGGTTAGACAGACGACGGATGCCGATGTTAAAAAACTAGACCCCCCCCCCCCCCCGCATGTCTTAATCATAAATTAGGCTACATAATGTAGTATTTAACATACCAAATAGTTCATAATACCATGATTTATCACCATCAGTTTGTAATTGTAATATATTCTCGTTTAACCATTCCTACTATGCAACTGGTTGGAAATTAATATGACACGCAAGTTTGAAGATAACATATTTTTCGATTTGGATACCAAGCTATCAGGCAACAATCAACGGATTTGGTCCTATATAGATGGGTCCTCCGGTTTCCTCGCACTGCTAAAGACGCCTACGGGTAAGCGAATTATTCAAATAAAATTGAACCATATGTTAGTCCCGAAATGACCTAGTTGGTAAAGGATGTCGGTATGTTTTAAAACAAAATCACAAAGATTCTATTTATTTACTATTTTGTCGTTTATTATTTTTTCATCAGATTTTCAGGGGTGCTGATCCCTCATTCTTTTATATAAAGAAATTTTTATATAATTTTTCCCCGCCAGCTAGAATATTTATCTTACGAATTGCACACTTTTCGTAACAAAACATCTTCAACACATGCTGATGCAGCATATTCACATTTTCTATGATAGTGTTATAATTTAGAACAAATGAGATAAGTCCACGCATTAGTAGTCTTTTTTGTATATTATAACTTTGGTGAGAATAACTTCAGTTAAACTCGTCAATTAATTAGTACCTTAGTGCCAGTGGTCAAGAGATTAAGATTGTTGGTTGGGTAATCATGTTTAGTTTCTTGATCATTAGGATAGCCACCACAACTGTGTTTTGTTAACTTCGTCTCACGACTCAATTAAAATAAGTTTTTGCGTGTACATTAGGTCTATTTTTATTTCCAAGTACTGTAACGGTATCAAAATATGAATTCCTGATAGAATGATAGAAATTTCATTTATAAGATATGCTTTCCGGCACGTTAACTTTCGTGCATAATGGCAGACAGTTTTTCTCACTCGAGAATATCATTTTCTCATTTTTCCGTTCCGATAATATAATTTGAAACAATAATATCCAATTATACATGCTTGTATACTTCGCATTCCTTATGAAGCAACAGTTAACGGAGTTCTGCTATCAATAAAATTATGTGGAAAGAAACTTATTAGCCATTTGGTTTATTTCCATTTAGGCATATAAATTAATTTTTAAAGACGAAACGAGATATCAAATAATCACCGCTTGGATTAATTATTCGGGGTAAATAATGATTTATCAACCAAATAGGCCGTGACAACTGACACGCCCCCCTTATGGATTTATTTACAGTACTTCGTCACGTCTTTTTGATTAACACTCAACGGCAATCTATATACGGGCAGAATTGTAAGGGGGTGGGGTGGCGCCACATCGCATGTACCCCAAATGTTGCCAAAATCGAATTTCTATATCAGCTTGAACCACAAAGCTTCGCACATGGCGTCTGGGCCAATCAGCAAATGAGTTGTGTGGACTGCAGAGCGAGGGTTGTTTATGCTTTGTAAGGGTCTTAAAGTTCGTTTGTATTCGTTAAGAATGTATACTTCGGGCAATACTGTGGTCATATTTATAAACTAGAGATTCGACGCTTCACAGTGATGCCAAGTATAATGTAAGAGGATTGATCGATTGTCCTGCTGGGATCGGAGAAAAAGAACTAATATCGGTAAGAATTTTAAGAAAAAAGACTGATTTATGAATACGGCACTGTTACAAAACGTCCAAATAAAGGTGTCTTAAAATGTTTTATTGCTAATTTGATCTTCTGGGTTGTTAGATGGTATATTTATAGAATCATTTTTGTGAAAATTTCAATTTCGATCAAAATCAATATTTTCACTTTTTTTTGTCTGTAGCTCATTATTAGACTTTGCGCATTCCGACTCATTTTGCCAAACGGGTCACATATATCGGGCAAAAATAACCCGTCAAAACAACATAGACACAATAGCTAGATCTGAATAAAAGACGAACTGATCCTCGAAAACATTAATTAAAGATTAATTGATATTGTTTCCAAAATCGGGATTTGTTGTCTCAAATTACATTCATGTTAATTTCATTAACTCTTATACTGCAAGGACAATGCACCACTAGTTTGGCCGGAAGTGCCAACGAGGCATGATGCAGCAGAATGTGATTTTTGTGAAGACTTTAGGCTGGACAATTACCGACACAAATAATGAGCATCCGCCGGGTACATTAACGGTTTACTTTACATTCAGACGTAGATACTAGAATAAAAATAAACACCCTGCACGTTTCAAGTCAGTAGCTTGAAGCGTATATATGGTATTAGTGTCAGTGGCTTGTGGCACGAAGTAACAGTATATTGTCGCATACATAATATATTATGTCAACGCTTGGGCGACATAATATATTGTGTTGACGCTCCAAGCGTGTTAGCATATTAGACCTGTAGACTCAGTGGAATGTACGCGTCATCAGAGCGGATCCAGGGGTTGGACCATGGGGACCGGTCCACCCCCTTAACAATAGAAAGTGTCCCTGTAAATAAAAGAGGGCATCCTTATCAGAAAAAGGGCACCTGTGATGTCAGAATTTCAAAAAAGGACACTTTTCTTTCGGATTAGGGTTAGGGTTAGGGTTAGGACACAGAAAAGAGAGAAAAAACAGAAAAGAAAAAAACAATCGAAACTTACCGATTCCATGATGGAAAATACCGCCAAAATATGTCTCCAAAGCATTCATTGGTTATCAAAGCGCCAATTAAATCTATCGTTGCAAGTTCATGCCTAGTCACCTCCATCCTAGTTCCAAGCGTTGACATAATATATTATATCGCCCAAGCGTTGACATAATATATTATGTATGCGACAATATACTGTTACTTCGTGCCACAGGCCACTGACACTAATACCATATATACGCTTCAAGCTACTGACTTGAAACGTATCGCCTGAAATAAAACCAGTAACATGTGTCCCCACACACACGATCCAACGTCTCAGGCTGTTTCTAAATCTTTTCCGGTGTGTTGCAGGACGGAGAGCTTGACAAGGGACACGGTATATAGTCGTAAGGAGCGTCTTCATTATCCCAGTCGGAGCAGAACAGTAGGAC